CTGTTAAATACAATAAAATAACATTTAATAACTGTAAAATACTATACAGTAATAATGAAAGTAACGTTAAAATACCGTAGTTCTGCATGGTAAAAATGTACAGTAAAATACTGTTTTCAGTTTTGCAGTATGTGTATTACTACTGTAATTGGTGTTACAGTATAAAAAGAAAACAGTAAAATGATGTATTACATTTTACAGTAAATCTAATACTAAAGTAATTAGTATTACAGTAATGTTACTGTTTTATGAAATACAGCAGCTACTGGATAATTGTTGCCAGTAACTTACTGTTAATTTAACAAGAAATCGTTTACAGTGTATATATATATATATTATTTGTAATTTTACTGAAAGGGAAAAGCAGGCACGTGAATGTGCTTTGAAGGGTCGCTATATGACTCACAGGACGCCTGCTTATGATATTCATGTAGATTCACGCACAATTATTGCTCACGTCTGAATATTAAACTCGTATTTATGCGATGAGTCATATTGCACACGAGAGCCTGTGGGAAGTGACACGTCACGCGGAGAGAGCTGTCAATCAATTCCTCCAGACTATTATCGTCGTGGATCAATCCTGAATGCATGGCATATACATTTATAAACATATCGCGCTTTAGACAGAGTGCAGCATCATTTGGACTGTAACATTACGTGTAAAAAAAAAAAAGGTTAACGAGAATATAATTTGACACTACTATACTGCCATCTAGTGGTGATCATATTTTTGAGCATATGTTTTGCCATTATTTTTTATTCTGTAATCCTGAAGTTTTTAGCATCACAGGTAGGCGAACTATTTTAATTATTATATATAGCAAAGTGCTAAATGTATATTTGTGTTAGAGTTTGTTACAAGGCATGATTTTATCGTAACTGGATTTTGGGTGTTAAATTAGGTGTATATCTGGAAAAGGTTTGGGAAATAGCATCAATGCTAGGTTTATCTACTCATCATACCTTACTTTAAAATGCAATTGAATGTTTAGGTTGTAATAATGTCGATTTTGATCATTTAATATGTTATAGGTTATGTGATTTTAGCCAACATTTAACTATAGCTTAAGTGCCTAATTTAAATTTGATCAATATTGTTATATTTCATGACCCTGGACCACAAAACTTTAAAAGTCTTAAATTGCACGAGCATTATTTAAAAATAAAGCCAACAAATTAGTTAAAATAATCAATTTAACTTAAAATTAAATTAGAGTAAATATATAAGTACAAAATAATTAGGCTGTATTAAAAATAAAGTTCCATGAAGACTTAAAATTTGCTACACTGTAAAACCAAACAGTCAACTTTATCAAACGAAATGAGTGTAGTTAACTCAAAATGTACTGAAAGTTTATTCTACTCATTTGAAAAGAGTTTTGAACTCAGTGTTAAAGGTAATGAGCTAATTAAATACCTCATTACTTTAACTTAAATAGAGTAAGTTCACAGTACTCATACAGATTAGTTTTTAAGTCAAATGGTTTTTAGCAATCAGTTTCCTCAAACGGTTTGAGTTGCCTTAACTTATTGGGTTTCACAGTATTCAGTTCGTTTGAGCTCTCTTCATTTATCGGGTTTTACTGTGCTTAAATTGCTTCGTTTACTTAAATGGATTAAGTTTAAAGTACTCATTAGGATTAGTTTTTGAACTTGTTGCACTCGGTTTCCTCAAATGGTTTGAGTTGCCTTAACTTCTTGGGTTTTACAGTGAAAAAATCTAATTTAACAGTACTAGAGCGCTATCTAGAGGCGAGCATATGTTTTGCTATTATTTTTTAGCCTATTCTGTAATCCAGAGTTTGTAACATCAGAGGTAGGCAAAATTTTTAATTATAGCAAAAGTGCTGAATGTATTGGACTGGATTTGGGTCTTAAATTAGGTGAATGTGGGAAAAATTTGGGAACTAGCATCACTGCTAGCTGTTTTACTCATCATACCTTATAACACAACTGAATGTTCAGGTTGTAATGATGTCGATTTTGATCATTTAATGTAATCAAATGCTATAGGTTATGTGGTTTTAGCCTACATTTAATATAGCTTATGTGCCTTTGTAGTTTACATTTGTTTAATATTATTTAAAAGTCTTAAATTGCACGAGCACTAGAGTGCAAGTAAAGCCAACAAATTAATTAAAATAATCAATTTAGGCGCATGCAAATAATAATAATAGATGAATAAGATTCGAATAATAATAATAATAAAACTTAAATAAATAAATAAATAAATAAATAGGCTATATTACAAAGGGGTTAATTGACCACCTTGATGTCAAAACAACATCAATTTGGTATCTTTAGTTCCATTAAGTCAAAAGTTCTTAAAATTACCTATTGTAGCCCTATTAAAACTTTTATTATTATTATTATTATTATTTGTAATAAGAGCTTCATTTGGACATATTTAAAGATGATTTCTCAATTTTTATTGATTGACTGATTGATTGAATCTTCATTCCAGATTTTCAAAAACTTATATTGACCAAATATTGTTGTAAAGACAGTCAGACAGTTGCGGCTCATCCAGAATGCTGCGGCCAGGATTCTGACCAGAAGCAGAAAATCAGAGCACATCACACCTGTCCTCAGGTCTCTACACTGGCTCCCAGTTACATTCAGAATAGAGTTTAAAGTATTATTACTGGTCTATAAATCACTAAATAGACTAGGACCTCAATATATTACAGATATGCTCACTCAATACAAACCCAACAGATCACTCAGATCTCTAGGATCAAATAAACTAGAAATTCCAAGAGTTCATCTGTTTAGCTGTGCCTTTACTGTATGAGCACTGTGCTACGTCCGACAGATCGCACTATTATGTTTTTCGTTTTCTTTTTCATTCTTTTATAACCTATTTTAACTCATTTTAATTTGTTTTCATCTGTTTTTAATCATTTTATTTTCTGCATTTTATGTTCCTAAACTTGTCTTTTTTATTCCTGTTTATGTAAAGCACTTTGAATTGCCACTGTGTATGAAATGTGCTATATAAATAAGCTTGCCTTGCCTTGCCTTGTATCCTAACAAATCTCATTAATGGAAACTATTTATTCAGCTTTTTAGATCAGAGGATGTACAGTGCTTATATATAAGTAAACCCCTCACAAATCTCTCATTTAATTTTATATTTTTAATAGGAAACCATACAATATTATATTTTTGCATATACATTAGATTAGTCAGTACTGAAGCCAAATCTGGATCTTATCTAACAAAATAACTTACAATAACGTTCCAAAAACTAGTACAGCCAAATTTATGTTATAGATAAATATTAAATACACATTTTAAAAATAGGAAAAATTAAGAGAAGCAAGAAATAGGATATTTTTAGTTGAAATTTTGGTTGTAATTTTATTTGCAATATTTTGCTTGAATTTAATTGTATTATCTCTCAATTTCTAAATAAGTTTGGTGACTAAAATATTATGTTGATAAATGTATCTGTTTAATAAATCTGTTTTTTTAAATGCACCAAAATACATTGTTCACTGAGAAATGGATACAAATATTATTAATTTTCAAAATGGGTGTACTCACTTATGCTGACCCCTGTATAAATTTCGATCAAAGAAATAAATAAAATAAAAAATAAAAAATAATTAATTAAAATGATGACTTTTGGGGATCAGGGATTGTTGTGCGTCGACATAATAGAAAGCGAAAGCAACTCTATGAACACGTGACATAAACCTAGTTCTGCGTCACAACATGCTGCAGCAATCACGGAAACAACACTGATGATCAGATTAGGTGCGTTCGACATGAAGCTCAGCTGCAGCCGGTGATCAACGAGATTAGCCGAGCGCAGGCGGGGCGGAGTTGAAAACGGAGCCGTCAAGACGGACAGCTGGACACTTCGGGACTCAAAGTTGCTGCAGTCATGATGACCGATCACATGGCGTCATCATATTTTTTTGTTATTTTTATTTATAACAACAAAACATTTACAAATAAAACAGAATACAGGCTCTTCAAACTGTAGTTCCTTTTTAAACAATAAGAGAGAATTATGAATAAAATATATAACAAATGCATGAGAGAAATAAGAGGAAATGAGAGGTTAATATAAACATAAAAACGAACAAGTCTATTAAATACAAAGCAATAAGCATAAATTCTAGGAGTTAAACATCAATCTTTAGGCTAATACTGCTAAAAAAGGGTTAACATATATGTACATTTATAGATATAAAAATTTCCCATGTAAAAAGCAAAACAAGGTGTTTTGATTAGGTCTTAATAAATGACATTATTTTGGATGATGAATGAATTTTCAAAAAAGCATTTTAATCCAAAAAGATTGTGTTGAAAAGAACAAAAGGTAAAATAAGTGAGCTATGTAGAAGTTTCCCAGAAAGAGCAGGTAGCCTTTAAACTGTTAGACAGAAAATAAAATATATATTTATATTATAATAGTAAAGCCATTTTATAATTATTTAATAAAATAGTTCTTTACTTTAATTTGTTAAGAGAGCTTTAGGGTGGCAGGATCAATGATGATGATTTTCTTATTTCAAGTCTGTAAGACTTATTTGAGTTCATATTTAGGTTATTCACTAAAATATACACTAAAATATATCATTTAAATCGTTCATGGAGATGAATGCAGTAAATAGTCTGTATAAAAAAGTTAAAAAATAAACCTGTGCAAACAAGCTAACCTTTATAACCAGATTATTTAACAAAAGATGATACTGCAGTAAAATATTTGTAGTCTTTTAATAAGCAAGATGTGTACAGTATAGAGAGGGTGTGAAAAGTGAATTGTTTGTTTTGAAACTTTTGAATCGGAATTTGTCCAATTATAAACCCGAAATACACGTGTTTGTTGTCATGTGGTGAACTTGGCCAATCGTGTAATATCGGTGTCGTCATCAAAGCTCCTGCAGTCGCTCTTCAGAAGCTGCACGGTCTGAGTTTGCCGTCTGATCTCGGAGCGCTGTCGCGGTACTTTGATGCCACATGTGACAGTCACGTGGCGTCGGCGCAGCATCAATCCGGACAAGATTTCTAACCAGAATGCACCGCTTTAAGACAGATTTCGATCGATCTGCGCAGCGCTGCATGAAGTCGAACGCACCTATTGTTTCAGTTGAACGTCGAGTGAAAATTGAAGCAAACATGTAAGTATAATAAAACTTTTTAAAAACTCTTTGACTGTGAGTGCTGAAGAAAAAAAGTATATTAAACGTACAGGCGTGGCTGATATGGCGCACGCTTGCTTGTTTACGAACATATTGTTTTTACACTCTTGACATGAATTAAGAAATTACTGTCGCTTTAACGACTTTTTTTTCATAAACAGTAGCAATATTAAAGCTAACTCTTGCCTAAACTTAAAGAGTCAGTTCACTCGTATAAAACACATCATTTACTCAGCCTTTACTTGTTTCAAACCTGAGAGTTTTATACTCCTAACAAGAAAGAGCATATTTGCAAAAATCATGTGGGACTGGGCAATATGGCAAATATCTCGATAATAATTTTCCATATTGAATGATTACAATATATATTTCAATATAAGTTTTAATGCTTCCAGATTTAAAAGAGTACCCCAACAATAACTGCAGCCACATACATTAGAGGGTCAATTTAATATCATGTTTTCGGTATAAAATTGGGTACATCTCTAAATCAATACACTTTTACATTTCCATTGTTGCACATTTCTGCTGTGACTGGCTCTTAGATCAATATCGAATAAAAAAATAAAAAAAAAAGTCCAGAGCTTATCATTCATTTCAGCTTAGTCCCTTTATTAATCAGGGTTCACCACAGTGGAATGAACTGCTAACTTATTCAGCATGTGTTTTATGCAGCAGCCCTTCCAGCCACAACACAGCAATGAGCGTATCATTGTTATTGACATAAATGTTATCGCGATTCGATATAAAATCGTTTATTGCCCCTACATGAATACTGTAAATGTCATACTATATGGATGTCAATGGCATTTATATGTTCTCCCCGTGTTGGCGTAGTTTTCCTCTGGAAGCTCCAGTTTCCCCCACAGTCCAAAGACATGTGCTATAGGTGAATTAAATAAGGGGGCCTGATAAATAAAGGGACTAAGCCGAAGGAAAATGAATGAATAAAGAATGTCAATGGCTACTCCAGCATTCTTCACAGAAAAAAACAGAAACTTCTAAAGGTTTGGAACCATTCAAGTGTGAGTACATTTCAGTTTTGGGTGAATGGACTCTTTAAGAAAGTGAAGTCAAGATTTTGAGCCCCCACTTTTGTCTTGCTGCATTGTAGTAAAAACACACAACCAATAGGACTTAAAAATAAAAATGCTTTATTAATGGGTTTTTGATCGACAGCTTTTATAATTTACGGAGGCACCAGCAGTTGTCTTTCTGGAGCTTCGGGAAAGAGATTGTGCTAATATTTACAGCTTTAACTTTTCATTTTCTATAACATTGACTGTACGATCAACAAAAACGGAGTAGCCAACTAAAAAAAGTAGTGCTTGTGATTAAATCTGCAGCAATAGGAGTGGACCTAAGATATTGTGGATCCATCTTAGGACTATTACCGCACCTACTCTGGCTGCAAATGACGTGTTCAGCACAAGATGGCAGCAATTTGACATTTTGGCTTCACTTTTCTATGGTGGAAAAAACTGAGGCGTGCTTTAAACATTTTTTTACAGTTTAGAATAATAATGTGAAGTAAAAAAAAAAAAAAGACTAATGATTTAAAGGCTTATTTTTTGTTCACAACAAATAGTTCACCAGAAATTTAAATTTTGTAATCTTTTTCCTGCACTTGAACGTCTGTTGAACTCATAAGAAAATATTTTGAGGAATGTTGTTAAGCAGACTTCCAAAGGTTTTTCTTCTCCCACTATGGAAACTTTTTTATTACAAACATTTTTCAGAATAATTTTGTGTTCATATAGGTTTGGAACAACGTTAGGATAAATAAATAAATAGTATGCTTAATGGTGAGCCTTTCTTTTAAGTCAAATTATGCAAAAGGTGTACAAAGCTGAGCTCCTTTTAAAAGATTTGCAAATATATACTCGTATATGATGGCTAAAGAGAATGATGGGCCTATTAGAGCTGTAGAGAGTTGCCAGAAATGCTAAAAATACATGCACAAATTTGGTTCGCAAATTGATAAGGAAAGAAATTCAATTCAATAATATTAACCACTTTTATTCCTGAAAGATACACTGTTCATTAAAGGTTTTTGCTTGACTTTTACAGTGTTTTGTTTAGCAACAGTAACCAGGGGTGTGGCGTTTACTCAAATAAGGTCACTTACGTAATCATCATTCACTGCTCTCTTTATATTGTTCATCTGTAAGTTCAAAGTTCAGTGCTGTAGAAGTGTGGCTTCAGCTTGTCAATCGTCAAACTCTCGTCTGAAGTAACAATAACTTAAAGGATTCAGGAGTGAAACTGCTCTGCACTGAAGAGACCAAACTGCTAACTGGAGAAGCTGAGGTATTTAAAAATAGGCTTAAAACTATAAGTTTAGCATTTGAAGCTAAAAGTTTACACAGTTAATTTCAATCTACACTCTCAGAGATAAAGGAATGAAAGCTGGCACTTGGGCGGAACCTTTTCAAAAGGTACATTTCTGTACTATTTATGCACTGATATGTACCTTTACAATTTTTATCGTTACAATAGGGATAATTGAGGTACTTAAACGTTCCCGTTATGTACAGAAGTGTACCTTCTAAAAGAGTGCTGCCCCAGTGATTAATTTTATACCTGTCTCTGATAGTGTTGAGGAAACATTCAGATTTACATGTCTTCAGGTTTGAAAGTTGGGTAATATGGTTATGGTAAATGTGGTTAGTTTAAAAATAAGGATGTGGAGCCATGTACAAATAAAGTATTGGTGAAGGCAGTAATTACATGTTAGACAGGCAAATTGGCAAGCTGTTGAAAATAATATTTGGGTTCAACTGGATAGAATTCACAAAAGCTGTAAACTCACTGGCCCTTTAATATGTTGTGGAAATGTGTTCTTGTTCTTAGATGTTATTTTGTAAATAAACAAAGTCTCAACAAAAGACGTCTATAGTTGTTCTGAGTTACTCAGTCTTAAGCATTTATTTTTACAAGCAGTTAGCAACAAAAGGCGATACGATTATACGACTGTCTGATCAGGCTCTTTCATGCAGTTTTATACATACTGCCCTCCTCCTTTATGGTTAATATCACATACATCATATCAATATCTACAGTTTGATCGTTAATCTTAATTTCTATGTCCCAGCTGCATCCTGCTCCCCAGACCAGGCTGACGTATTACTTTATGTATAGTTTTAATTGTTCTTTAACCCAAGAATACTTTCCCCATGCCATTTATATGCAAGTTCCTTGTGTCTGATGAATAATAGCTTCTCTATGATCTCAGGGATAATATGGGTGCTCTGGTGTGGGTGCCCATTGAGGACAGGAGGGCCTATAATGATCTCATAAGGATTTCCCATTTAGCCATGTCCTATCTCATAGCCTATATTTCTAATGGAAGCTGCAGGTAACATGCTACATGCAGGTAATGCTGAGATATGTGCATGAAACATACAGTAAAACAGAGTACACTCTCAATAGAAAAAAGGTATATATAGTTTGAGCAGCATCATGGCTTTGGAGTATGAGTGTATTGACTTCATTAACACATTCAGTCAATCACAAAATCACATACAGTTAATTTCAAAACAGTAATACAGTCTTAAAGTGGAAGTGAAGCAGTCAGTCAAGTTTACATTAATTGGGAAAACTAGTTTCCACTTCAATGTAAAATATATTTAACCAACTGTGTTTAATATATTTTTATATATTAGATGCACATCTGATGCTTGTATTTGCACCAGTTCCACGTCCACAACTTCACTCATCAAGTTAAATTAGGCTGTTCAGTCTCAGTGTTCAATTCTTCTACTGTATCTGTTCAGCTGAGGGAACCGTACCAACCCTGTGACATCAGACACAACGATATTACACTCTAGCTCTAAAAACTATAGTACAACATGCCATTTTTGGTTTTGTTTGTTATATATAAATAATGTAACTTTGACTGGCTGCTTTACTTCCACTTTGATGTCCATTGGCTTTCTGAAAGAGTGAGCCACTGTTTGGGTGTTAACCATAGAAATTAATAAGAAACGCAATAGGCTGTATCCTACCGGTCACAAAATCGTCTTTGACTTCTCTAACAATGCTTACTTGGATAGCACGCTGGCTCAGTTGTTAGCACTGTCGCCCCATAGCAAGAAGGTCACCGGTTTGAGTTCCGGCTAGTAGGCATTTCTGTATGAAGTTTGCATGTTCGCTCCATGTTTCAGACATGTGCTAACTGAATAAACTAAATTGGCCGTAGTGTATGAGTGTGTGTGTGAATGCGAGAGTGTGTATGGGTGTATGGGTTGAAGCTGAAAGGGCATCTGCTCTGTAAAACATATGCCGGAAGAGTTGGCGGTTCTTTCCGTTGTGCCGAGCCATGATAAATAAAGGACTAAGCGGATAGAAAATGTATGAGTGACTCTACAAATGTATGAATACGAAACTACTGTTGATATTCAATAGCCGCGTTTCCACTATCGCGCCTAAAGCGAGCGAGCCAGGGCGAGCCAAGGCCAGTGGCGTTTCCACTGTCACTTCCGGGGCCTAATCGGGCCAAAGCGGGGCTTTCTTGGGGCCAGCGGCCAGCCTTTTTCGGCCCGCCGAATACCTTGGGCCAAAGAGGGCCAGCCGGGGCTTCGGGGCGGAGTGAAAGGAGAGGCGGGCACAGTTTTCCGATCGCACAGTACATGTGCCAAACACATAAACAAACAAATAAATAAGAGAAAGAAAACATCTGGAACAAATTATAGGCTGGGGTCTTTTTTGCATATGATCGCCCTTATGTTTCTCTTTTAAATGTAAGGTTTTTGCATAAAATGATAGTTTTAATAAGTCACTTTTCTTTGCTGCATCTCTTTGATGTTTCAATAACGCATACTAATCTTTACACCATATTAAAGACACAGCAGACAGTAAAGGTTTTCAAGAGGTTTTGTCAAGTTTAATAAGTGTGTTTGCGCGTTTAGATGCCTGTGCGTGTGTGAGACCGAGGAAAAGAGCGCTCCATTCATAGCTCTGTTGATGCCGCGAGCGGCTTTTTTCTTTTCTTTTTATTGTTTTAATTTATTTTGGAGATAATACACTATATGAAAACAACAGAAAGACATTAAACTTTACAAATTTCATGTCCGCTTTTGTAGGCTCAAAACAATAGTGTCATATCTAGATAAAAATAGCCTAAGCTATATTTAAATAATTTAACGAATTACAAATATCAGATAGGCCTATAATAAAATCACATTAAATAAATAAACCAATATAAAACTAACAAAAGCTATAGCTATAACAATTAGGTACTATATCAAACTGTTTCAAATTTATATTTAACTTTCATTTTTCAAAAGCCTCTTTGAAAAAAAGATTTTCTAAAAATAAATAAATAAATAAACACCGGAAAATGTTTTAAATATTATTTATAAAGTATTTGGATACGATGATATTAATCAAATCATGCAAACAGAGCATTTTCGGGGTGAGTGAAAGCAGAAACTAGGCGACCTTTTTTTCTGTCTGCAGCTGCGCAGCACTTTTTTGATGGGGAAAACTGCAAGTTCAAAATGTGTTCTGTGTCCTCAAACAAGTGTGTGTGTTTTTATATAACATGCTAAAATTAAAAAAGGAAATATAAAATACATAAAGAGCTTTATTAGTGCATTGCTGCTGAGCGCAACGAAATATAGGCTATATTTTATTACTTGCTGCTCTTATGTGCTGAAACACTGAACACTTTCCTTTACTTAAGATATAATAAGCAACGTCTTTAAATAAAGGGAATCACCTGTTAAGTGTCGTAAAGCCTATAGGAAAAAAAATCATGTTTCAGTTCTCTCCGGAGCATTTGGGATGAATGTTGGACAGCGTCTGTCTAGAGGATGTTATAAAATACATTTTATATCGAGTTATTAACGGAGAATTTTATATATGTGGTGTTATATTATGGATGTGTGCGCTCCCTGTGCTAGGTCCCTCCGTTGGTGGCAAGACCACTGGATTTCGATGCCAGTCGGTCGGCGAGTAAATGAATATAATGAATGAAAACACACAGTCATGTGCGTATAGACATGCGTTGTACTGCTGTACAGTAACGTGTCATTTGTTTGTTTTGGTTGTCCTAATTTTAATAATTTCGTGATGATGTGCTTTATCTGCATGATTCTCGCTGAAGTGGGCGGTTTGAGTGACGTTCGATTCAGGGGATGTTCTGGGGGCGGGGTTTGCTGACGCGCTGCGGCTACTAGCCCCACAGTGGAAACGCGACATGATTTCGGCCTCACTGCTCAACCTCCCGGGCGATTGGCCCGGCCTGGCCCGATATAAGCCCTGGCTCGCACTGGCCTGATAGTGGAAATGCGGCTAATCATGTTGGGGATTAGTCAACACAACGATAACCTGACTTCCTACAAAAGCTGTTTATTTGGCATAGCAAAGCATCTCATTTTACATTCACCAAAAAAAAAAAAATCCTCTTGTCTTATTTGCAGATGTACCAACAATATTGGAGCATTAGCTTTAGCATCAATTCTTTTATTATCCATCGGCTTTCATCTTTTTTCATTGGTTCTAAACTCTCATGTGCCCTCTTTGTTTTATTTTGATCGGTTCTTTTGTTGTATGTGTCTTATTCTTATTCTGTCATGTGACTCATATTGTTTAGTGTAAATGGCCCTCATGTTTCAGGTGTCTCTTGTTTAGCTTTGTTAGATATGTCCTGTTGTTGGTGAGTTGTTTCAGGTTCATACTCTAGTTCAGGTGGAGTCTTTTTGTGGTGTGCTTGTTTTCTATCATGTTATGTTTTCTTAAATAAAATGAACATAAACTTAAACTCACCAGTGGTGGATAGAGTACTGAAAAATCATACTCAAGTAAAAGTACCATTACTAGCCTAAAAAAGTAGTGCAATTAGAGTAAAAGTATCTGTTGTAAATATTATGCAAAGTATAAGTAAAAAGCAGCCCTTTCAAAAGTACTCAAGAGTAGTGAGTATTACACTGTAGCCTAAAAAGCTGATGCATTTACATGTAATTTGTGCATGTGTGTGTAAACGTAACATTCTGTAGTGCATCTAGTTATTGCCCAGCAGGCACACAACGTCATAAAATGTTAAAAATGACGAAAAATTTGACCAAAATTCAATATCTAGCCAGCGTCTAAGGACAACGTTATTTTGTTTTCAAATGTTTGGTTGATTTTAGCTTGTTAGAAAGTGACCAAAATACAACATCGTGCCAACATCTTAAATCGACGTCATATTGACGTCAAATACTGACATTTATTCACCAGGTGTGGCAACCAAAATCCAACATCTTATAGACTTCATAGTGGTAACGTCCACATAATGTTAAGCTGTAACATCATTAGACGTTGATATTTGGTTGGTTTTAGGTTGGATGTTGGATATTGACATTGGTCTGACGTTGAGTTCTGACGTCAACCTGATTTTCATTTCCAAACAAAATGCAACGTTCCCATGACGTTAGGGTACATGTCAATCTGACGTCATCATGTTGTTGTCTTGTGCTTGCTGGGTGTTTAGGGCCATTTTGCTCATCATACAGTAAACATCCGTCATCTTCTCACCAGTGACATGCATCTAAACAGTTTCTGGGTCAATGCATGTAAAGATTTTGGGCATCTTCTTGGACACTTTTAATGGTTCCAAACAGTTTGCTGCAATTTTAAATCGCCCATGTCTTGAAGTAGTTCATTATGATGTGATTTACCTTCTATGTGCAATTTGATTGGACATGAATTAAAGGACTGAATTTTCCAATCCCCATAGACAGGAAAAAATTAAGTAGTGACAGCAGGTTGATGGACAGCAGTGGAGTAAAAGTACAGACACTGCACGAAAAATGTACCAAAGGAAAAGTAAAAGTACACATTTTAATAACTACTATAATACAATTCCTGAGAAAAACTACTAAGTTACAGTAGTTTGAGTATTAGTAATTAGTTACTTTACACCACTGCAACTCACCCTCAGTGAACTTTACTCAGTGGCCTTAATACCTTTTTCTTTCACAGCCTGTATCATGGATTGTTACGGAGAACCCATTAAGGATCAGAATGGAGAGACCATGGCTAGAGCAGAACTACTAAAATGTAGGCCAACGCACACACTTTTTCCTCACCAAACACTATTACACACAAGAGCAGAAATTATTCTTTATGCGACCCAAAACAGTTTGCTTTTTGAACATATTTGTGCTCACATAAATGTTCTCTATTCATGTATGCAGATGCCTGTGATCTCACTCTTGATCCGAACACGGCACATGAAATGCTGTCAGTTGCAAACGGCAACAAAACATTGGTGTGTAACCCAGAGCCGATGATTTATCCTGATCACCCAGACAGATTTACCGGCCTCCCGCAGATTCTGTGTAAAGAGCGTCTGTCCGGACGCTGCTACTGGGAGGCCGAGTGGAAAGGACTGGGTGACATGGTGGTGTCTTATGGAGGAATCGGCAGGAAAGGAGAAAGTCTTGATTGTCGTTTCGGAGCCAATGACAAATCCTGGATCATGAGCTGCTTTATTGGAGAGAAGCTGATTGCCTGGCATGATAACATGGGGGTTTATATTACTCTCCCAACAACTCCCTATAACAGAATAGCTATGTATCTAGACGAGCCTGCCGGCATTTTGAGCTTCTTCAGCGTCCCTGATGAAAACACACTCAATCACTTGTACACATTCAACACCAAATTTACTGAACCCCTCTATGCTGGGTTTGTGCTTTATACAGAGTCAGTGACTCTGTGCGATCTTAAATAACTCCTGCACACAATATATACAGTAGCAAGTATTTAGACTGTTGACACCCAGTCCAAATACCTAGCCACTCTTGTCAATGTCATTTAGACTGAATTGCTCTTTAACTTTGAATATTAAAGGCTGCTCTTGTTAAAATACAATTATTTAAGTAATACCTTACATAAATAAAAACTGGTATTGCAAAACATGTTTTTTTCAGTCTTTTTTATTGTCTCTTGTATGACAATACAAATTAAATATTGAGAGGTAAACAGTCATGTATTGTCTATTATTAATCAATACAGTACGATGTTTATTTATAAAGCACATTTAAAAAACAACCAAGGTTGACCAAGAAGCAGAATATAAAAGAAACATTTAACAAGTAAAAGCAATAAAACAGTGATCAGAGAGTATTAAAAGTGAGAGAAAATGAATATGTTTTGAAAACAGTCTTAAACGCAGAAAAGGAGGGGGACAGTCTAATGTGAATTGGTAGATTGTCCAGACTTTAGGAACAGCAAACGCTCGATCACCTCATTTTTTAAGGAGTGTTCTGGGCATGGTGAGTAGGCTAAATTGAGATAAGATCTCGATAATCGAGAGGGGGTATACAAAGCAAGTCAGTAAGGTACTGAGAAGCAAGATTATTGACGGCTTTGCAAGGAATAATAGAATTTTAAAATCAATTCTGCATTTAATTGGTAACCAGGGAAGTGCAGCTAAAATTAAAGTTACCGACTCATACTTGTGAGTGCAAGAGAGTAGTCTAGCAGCCGCATTTTGTACCAGCTGCAGACGAGAGAGAGAAGACAAAGACCAAAATAAAGAGCGTTACAGTAATCCAGACAAGTTATGAAGGCATGAATCACCGTTTGAAAATTTCTTTGAGATAAAAATGGCTTTATCGTTACAATAGGTGTGGTGTAAAAGCAGGATTTTACTACAGTACTAATCTGTTTGTCAAATTATAGGTTTTCATCAAACATAACTCTGGGATTTCTTGCACACTGGGTAATATGTGGGGCCAAAGATCCCATATTGACATCTAACAGAGAATTGTCTTTGTTCCCAAATACAATTACTTCAGTTTTATTTTCGTCTAAATTTTAAAAATGGCTTGAGAGCCAAAATTTAAGCTCCTCTAAGCAAGCCAGGAGTGGTTGTAAGCCATTTACTGTACATCTTTTTGTTTTAAAGGAAAATACATCTGAATGTCATCTGCATATAGATGGAAGGAAACCTTTTATTTATTGGAAATGGAAGCCAGGGATAGCATAAACCCATCACCTAACCTCTCATTCATTAACTAAACAAAACAACAATAAATAAACACATAAATACCAAATTAAGAAAATTAAATACATAGGAACGTGACACCAGAATAGCTGGATATAGACGGGGGAAAAAAAAATAATAATAAATAAATAAACATTCTAATAAAATGGTAAATGTTATAGGTTTCCAGCACCAAGTGTATTAAGCAGGCTTTTGATTTAGTCAAGAAAGTAATCCCAAGTCTTATAAAGGTAATCTAGTGAGCCAGAGAGCGAGCATCTCAGTTTTTCAAGTCTGATACAGTCAAAAAGCCCTGCATCCACTTGTCATGTGTAGGGGGAAAGTGCGTTTCCACTTCAAAACTATGGCACGTCTGGCTAAAATTGTGGTAAAGGCAACAGCCTTGCTGTCACGGACTGTCAAATCAGGTCCATGGGATACACCAAAGAGGGCTAACAAAGTGTCAGGTTGTATATTGATTTTGAGGGCTTTATTGAATGTGTTAAAACACCTGACCAAAAGGTGGCCAGCTGTGGACATGTCCGAAACATACACTGTAAAAAAATGGCTATGATTTCAACGGTAAAAAAATGTAAAAATGCTACATTCAAAATCCGTAACCTCGTTAACGGTATGTTTCCTTAATATATATACGGCGAATAACCGTAAATTGACTTTCCCAGAATTCCCTGTATGGAGCATCACTTTTTATACTTTTTGTTGACATTACTATGAATCTTTTCAGTTGTTTCCCCATAAGTTATGTACATTAGAGATTTATGTTACATCTAATGTTGATAAACAATGTTTATTTCATGATTTTAATTTTATGCGTGTTACCATATTGGGGTTTAGTAGCTGTGTGAATAACACTAACCACCTTCTATATTTTACTCCACTTTTCTGCTTGTGTGGAAAGTTGATTGTGAAGAGCTTTGGTTCCCCTGCTAAAAAAATCCAGCTTAAACCAACCTAGGCTGGTTGGCTGGTTATAGCTTGGTGACCAGGCTGGTATTAGAGGGGTTATGGCCACTTCCACGCTGGTTTTCAGTCATTTCCAGCCTTGTCTTAGCTGGTCAGGCTGGAACATGAACAGCTAAATTCAGCTAAAACCAGCTTGACCAGCCTGGTCTAAGTTGGATATAGCTGGTTTTGGCTGGGCTCCAAGCCTGGCTAGGCTGGTCAAGCTGGTTTTAACTGGTCATCTCTCAGCCTGACCAGCTAAGTCCAGGCTGGAAATGGCTGGAAATCAGCCTGGAAGTGGCCAAAACCCCTCTAAAACCAGCCTGGTTGACCAGCTAAAACCAGCCAACTAGCCTAGGCTGGATTAAGCTGGATTTTTCAGCAGGGTCATCAAGTAACTTCCTCATAACCTCCTGCATATGGATGTGCTAACGTGTCTAACTGTGTAAAAACAGATGTGTAGATGTTGGTCATTTAAAATACAGACAAATTACATCTATAAATTAATGAATTACAGTAGTTTACCATGAAAATGAAAAATTACTTTTACGGTTTGTACCGTGTTTTTAACGGTAAAGTACTGGCAACCACAGCTGCCGGTGTTTTACCATAAATATTACGTATTTATTTTTTATAGTGTATGCAGATGGTCAGCAGGTGAATATTTGCAACGATGACAAGAAGAGCTCCTATTTGGAAAGAAATTAGACTACTGAGCATTGGTTGAGTGAGCTCTAAATCATGTTTTACACTGCATCAAACCATGTCTTGCACATGATGAAGAGAAATGCACCTGGGCTAAAATTTTATCGCTTACATCCGCTGTCATAACTCCTAGATCTCGCTCCCAAGTATCTTTAAATGCATGAATTGAATTTATTAAATGATAAATAATTAAAATCAAAGGCTTTCAAATCAGGAAATGATCTATATGCGTTTCAGGGGGGGCGGTTAGGGAGATGGGGAAACTGCTTTAGTATAAAATTTCTGATTTGGAAGAAGCGAATTAAGTGATGATTCGGTAAATTATACTTCATAGCTAAAAAGGAGAAGTATGTAGACACGCCCTCTTCATATAGATCACAGATTTTGCAAAGACTATTAGAGGACCAGACACGAAATGCAGGATCTGAACTTGATAGGGGGAAAAAATAATTGTTAAGTATAGGTATATGGATATATCGCTTGCAGGCCGTAGTGTTTTCTCAATTACATCCAAATATTGAGGGTATTTGTCACTACTGATTTTTTTAAACATTACTTATAGCTAAAAGAAGTTGAGAACACACAATAGAATTGAAGGGTTTTTTTGTTGATAAAGATTCAGTATGTACCCAAGGCGGACAGTTTTCAGAATAGCTTTCATTGTTCCAATAAACGAGCTTATGAATGTTGCAGGCCCTTGCAAAACATGTTTGTTACTGACTTCAGTTTACATCAGGGATGCCCAAACTCAGTCCTGGAGGACCGGTGTCCTGCATATTTTAGTTCCAACCCCAATTAAAAACACCAGAACTAGCTAATCAAGCTCTTTTTGGGTATACAAAAACGTCCAGATAGGTGTGTTGGAGCTAAACTATGCAGGACACCGGCCCTCCAGGACCGAGTTTGGACACCCCACGCTTTACATCATAGGTCTCAAACTGGATAGAGGGCCACAGCTCTGCAAAGTTTTGCTCCAACTCTAATCAAACACATCTGATGCAACTAAAGTGTTCAAGACTATCAAGCAGGTGTGAGTTGGAGCTGGTTGGAACTATGCAGAGCTGTGGCTTTCCAGGAATTGAGTTTGAGACTATTGGTTTACACCATTAGATGGTGATAAGAAATTATAAATCAGCAGCAGAGACTTTTATATTGAAAAGTGTTGAAACAAAGTTATTAACCATATCATTTTGTAATGACAACAACCACTTGCAAACTTGCTGTTTCATAGAAGTCGTTTAGAAAAGCGGGGATTAAAGTCAAACGCCTGAGTTAAATGAGCCGAACTAAACGTCCACACTTAAATTGGTTCCATAACTGCAAGTTGAAGATCATTTGATCTAATCTGAGTTCAGTTTAAAGAATCTAGATGCTCGTGCACGTTACTGTCGTGAAATCTTGAAGGTCAAGCATAGCATCGATTTTATTGTGTGCTACCATGGCAATGACAAGAACTGTAAGGTCTCTGAAATGAGACAGAGCGAGTGAACTGCATTTGTTTTTAGAGTTCAAACATAATTTAAACATAATAATACATGTGTGGCTATATATTTTAAAATAAATACCATTATTTAGCCCTATTAACATTACATTAAACATCACATTATACACTGAAATCGTGCTTGTGCACATGCGAGAGAGATAGAGAGAAAATAGTTTTAATGCATTACAGACTAACTGTAACATACAAAACATAAGCACATTAAGTTAAAAAATAATGGCAACAAAAAGCCATGCAGATTTTCAATTTGCTCCCGAAACCGCTGGACTTGTGTTTCTCAAGCCCTGTTTATATTAAAGTGAGGCTACTGCTCGGCCCAGATCCATCTCCCGATTATTCCACTCATGAGTTTGATGCTTTAAAGCTTGCTCCTTTGTATTAGTCGGTGCTCTCTTAAAAATGTTTGCTTTATAACATTCTTGTAATTTGTACATTATGTATACAGTTGAAGTCAGAATTATTAGCCCCCTTTGGGTTTATTTCTGTTTTAAAAAGTTCCTAAATGATGTTTATAACAGCCAGGAAATTTTCACAGTGTCTCTAGTAATATTTTTTCTTCTGGAGAATATTTGTTTTATTTTGGCTAGAATAAAAGCAGTTTTTAGTTTTTGAAAAGACATTTCAAGTTCAATATTATTAGCCCCTTTAAGCTATACTTTTTCGATAGTCTACGGCAAAAAAACATCGTTATACAATAACTTGCCTGATTACTCTAACTATGCCTATTAACTTAATTAACCTAATTAAGCCTTTAAATGTCACT